ATTAAGATGACATCACCAGCCCGACCTGTCGGTCAGACCGATTTAACCGGTCGACCCGGGACCCGGCCACATTGCTGGGTGACACCTCGGGGTCGGGTATTAAAACATTGCATTTCTCTCCTTAACCAGTAGCCATGCTCCTCTCTCCCTCTCTAACCCACAGTCGCCAACCCTCTCCCAGTTGCCGACCATCGATCTTGTGACTATCGTGGGCACCAAAAAGTGGCTTTTTGCCACTATGCTAGCACCCCATCACGACCCTTCCCTTCCCATTTGCACCATTTGCCCTTAAGTTGCAGTTTCCAACCTGTTTGCTCCCGAAATCTTGCATTGTCGTTGTCGCACGAGACTTCCTGCCTATATTATACAAAATTTAATAATACTATTCTTACAGAGTTTGTATATAAACATTATTCGAGCATTATAATATATGGATATATAGAACATTATTTGAGCATTGGCAACCTCATTGCCTGCTGGATAAATATGAGAAAAATGAAAACTCGTCAAAAACTTGATAACTAAGCAATTCCAACCATCCTGGTGCAAAGATCGATCTATCAAAGGGATTAAACGAGGTTTTGAAGATATTTAATGAACATTCTTTCTATTTTATTTTTATTTATTTTTTCTATGAAATTGTATAACATAATTTAGGGTATTCTCTCTTGTGCTTTTTTTTTTTTTTTTTTTAAATTTAATATTTTTTATTGATAATTATGGATAGATAAAAGATATATAGTTCAACTTCACTTGATTACCATTGGTTGATGCAAAAATATAATTTAAAATATATTTTCTATTAAATCCGTGCTCTAAATTTAGAAAATATTTTTAATTATAAACATTTTGAACAATTAATCAATTTATGAAATTGATTGAAATATTAGATAAATAATATATAACTTCAATTAATAGATAAAGATCTAAATAGTGGTAATAATTATTAATAAAATTGTCATAAAATATATTAGGAAAAATCATAAATTTATGTAACGAAGATATTAATTATTATAGAAATTATTTAATATTTTGTAAAATAGTTTTGTTTATTTTATTGTGGTTCATGATAGATCCTTGTGGAAAAGTTTCAAAACTTCATCCCTACGTATGGGCAATGGATGGGCCCAAAGCGCGGAGCTTGGATCAGGGGCGGATCCAGCCCATTTTTGGCCCACCCTCAATTTTTAAATATTAATATATATAATTTTTGGATTTTGGCCCACCCTAACAAAAATGTTAATATGTAATTAGTTTTTATTTTGGTCCACCCAAAAAAAAAATTTCTGGATCCACCACTGGCTTGGATGGTAGTAGTGTTGTTATCAAGTCGAGCTAAGTCGAGTTTTCGGCTAAACGAGTTTGACTCAATTAATGGGGGACGAGTTCGTGTTTGAGCCGAGCCAAACGAGCCATTGATTTCCTGGCTTGGCTTGAACTCGTTAAAGGAGAAGGGGGATTCGAGCTTGGCACGTGAGCTGGCTTAATGAGCCGAATTCGAGCCGGCTCGCAAGCCACTAGAAAAGCATGCATCTTTGATCTGTAGACTGCTTTTGTCTCTTTGATCTTTCCAAGTTTGACTGAAGGAAAAAGCATCCATGGAGAAGAACTATGCCAACAACAACTCTAAAGACCAAATTCACTAGAAAATTGGCAGTAACGCCATTAGAGACTCAACAACAACAATCGAAACTCCAGCACCGTCGAGCTTAAAGATTCTCCACAACAGCAACAATCATAACAATGGAGAAGAATATCTGAGTGGGTTTTCATGGCCACCAAGATCTTACACATGTGCCATATACTTTACAGTGTTGTAATAGTTAGTTAAGCTGAGTTGTAAAGTGTTATATCTAGTTGACTAAAGTTTAGTTAATATTTTACTGTAGTTAGTTGTAAGTAACAATACCATATAAGTGTTGTAAGTTCTCGAAGTAATCAATAACAAACAGTACACTTCTTCCCCAATTTCTCTAACTTCGTTTATAACAGGTAGCTTCTGCAAAAGCAATTTAGATCTGCTCAAGCTCTCAGTGGTCATATGAATGTCCATAGAAGAGACAGAGCTAGGTTGAGGCAGTCACCTCCAAGGGATGGTCAGTTTCCCATTCTTAATCACCTCCAATAGGACGGCCAACGGCAGGAATAATGGGCAACGCGAGCACGACAACAATAAGATGGCGACGGCGACGGCGACAGCGTGGTGGTGGATTAGGTGATTTTTCTTTTTTACTTTTAGGGATTTTCAATAAACGGGGGAAGAGATTGTGTTTTCTACAAATTTTAACAGAGGGGATTTGTTATTTTTTCAAATATTAAGTAATGCAAATTACTAAAGCCCCATAGTTTCAAAAACCCTATATATCAACCCTTTCTTTTCGAGCCAGATTCGGCTTGCAAGCCGTTCGAGCTGAGCCGAACATTGATCAAACTCGGCTCGCAAAATATTCACGAATCAAGCCGAGCTGGCTCGATTACAGCTTAGTAGAGCTCTGGATGAGCGGAGTCAAACCGGCTCGTGAGTCGCTCGATTTGTTTACCACCCCTAGATGTTACACTATGTCTCTCTCTCTTTGGAAAATCAAAGGGCAAGCGAGCAGATTCTATTTATCAACTATTTAAGCTTGCTTTCTTATGATAATTATTTTTACGTCAAATAAAACTAATTAAGCTTATTCAAAGGATTAGATTGCATTATTATTAAAATCTTTGAAGAATTTAAATTTCTTCTATTGGCTACAAGGGTGTAAATCGTGAAGGCAAATGAAGGTTTCATAAAATAACAAAAAAGTAAACGACATGTTCCCACCCAAGGTTTTGCGAAATGGCAAGTTCCACCCTTAGTTTCATAAGTTTCAGATTCCCACCCTTAAATTAACAGAAAATTGTTTAATGTAACGGTTAAAAGGTAAAGCGGCTAGTTGCATTACATTAAATCTGAGATAAAAATAAAAAATTCAAAATAACCTTCCGCATCTCAAATTTATTTTACAAGCACCCTCTCTCTAAGACTACTTCTTATCTTCCGTTGCTTCTCTCTCCCTCCCTCAACCATAGCCTCTCATTTCTCTCCCTAACCAGCAGCCATGCTCCTCTCTCCCTCCCTAACCCACAGTCGCCAACTCTCTCCCAGTTGCCGACCATCGATCTTGTGACTATCGTGGGTGCCAACAAGTGGCTTTTTGCAGCTATGCTAGCACCCCATCACGACCCTTCCCTTCCCTTCCCATTTGCACCATTTGCCCTTAAGTTGCAGTTTCCAACCTGTTTGCTCCCGAAATCTCGCATCGTCGTTGTCGCACGAGACTTCCTATCACTACTCGCTTTTTCATTTGCCACTACTTCCAGCCGCGCTAATCTGCTCCAGGGTTTGATTGCACTAGCTACTCATTTTCTTTCGTCACTGCTTCCAATCGCACAATCTACACCAGCGTACCACCTACGTGCGATTGCACTAACGTGCGACTTGCGAGCCTAACTACTGCTTTTTGCCAACTGTTGTGCCCACATCTGTTGGTTGCGGGCTCCCCTTCTCGCAAGATTGCAGTCTCCCCTGCCTTCCAGTGATGTGCCCATGTATGTTCTTGTGATTAACTTACTTGTTGTGTTGAGTGATATTTGGTTGAATGTCGCCTTACTTAGTGGTGTTTGTTGTGGATTGCGATGGATCGTCGTGGCAGATTGTTGGGATTGTTGATGATGTGTTGTTTGGATTGTTGGTGATGAAGTTTGTTTGGATTGAAAGAAAATTTAGAAGGTTTGGATTGAAGATGGTGTTGGTGAATGAATATGAGATTTATAGGATTTTCCTGGAATTTTATTAATTTGGTTGGATGGTGATAGTGGCTGGTTGGTGATGGTTGGGTGGCGACAATGGCTAGGTGGTGATGGCAATGGCAATGGATGGGTGGTTGGAGATGGGGATGGTGTAAAGGTTGAAGAAGAAGATGTTGAAATAAATTTTAAAATCAGATGGTTATTTTTAATTATAATAATTTTGGGGTTAAAAAGTAATTTATTAATTTATTTATCAAGGATAATATGCTAATAGCATTCTCTATATATGTGCCAAATCCTAATAATCGTTAATGATATTACTTTAAAGGTGAGAATCTGAAATTTATGAAACCAGATGTGAGAACTTGCTATATCACGAAACCCTTGATGGGAACATAGTCATTTACTCGTAAGAAAATTATATCTAATTTAAGAGACATAATGAATCGAAACTCTCGAAGATATCAACTTTCTTGAGCTTAAAATTAATTTTCAAGATTAGAGCCGAAGATAATAGAGAGGCCTACTTTATTGGGCTTCCAAAGGCCCAGAGATTGCCTCTTCCCTGCCTTCAACTGGAGACCATTCAATAGGTTCTTTTTGGAGCCCGGGTCTCGGGTCGGATTTGGAAAAACACAACTGGAGATAAATCGCCTTTCAAGCTTGAGATAATTTCTTGGGATTACTTTAAACCCCCCAAGGATTGGCCAAATTCATAAACCCCATATAGTATGGGTAATAACACAAAACCCCTGCCGTGACCATTTTCTCGTTTGTTCTAACATCAATGACGGCACAAGAGTAAAATTACCCTAAACAATTATAATATTAATAAATATATAAATAATAAAAAAATAAGAAAATTTAAAAGAACCCCCCAAAAAAAAAAATACCTCGTAAGTCATACCCGCTTAGCACCACCCACCGTTGCTCCCCACAACCCTTTGTTGAGCATTAAAGCCCAGCCAACCAGCCCATCCCCTTCCCACTCCGTCGCCCCCCACGTCTCATAACCTACCGCCACCATACTGCTCTTCCCAATTTTTATTTTAGTTTCCAATGTATTTTTTCTTTAAATCTGGCAAAGAGAAGCTTTTTCTTTTTTCTTTTTCTGTTTGGATGTGTATAATTATTTTTTGAGTATTTGGCATTGATTTGGATTGGTTTTTTTCTTTGTTAGTTCAGATTTTGAAGCGTAGCTGCTGAATTTTTGTAGGGGCTGAAGGTGGCTGGGGCCACTGGGGAAGAAGAGGAATGAGGAGGATGCAGGGTTTGGGTTGATGGGCATGGAGAGTGAGGGTATCTAGGTCATTTGACTACATCCGGTTAAAACTAACGAGAAAATGTTAACGTCAGGGGTTTTTGTGTCACTACCTATACCACCGGGGGTTTACTATATTTGACCAAACCTCGGGGTTTCATATAACTGAGAAGAAGGGAAATTTCAATTAATTTACCAACTTATGTTCACTAATAATCAAAGGCAAGAAGAGCGAACGGGACAGTATGGGACTCCGAGGCTGCAATATCTTCAGGTGATTTACTTAAATTGCCTTTACCACTTCTGTTGAGTGTTTTGATATCTTTTAGTAAGATCCGTTTTCTAATTATTTTGTAGGAATTGGTGAGCCAGTTCCAGAACGCAACGGATGAAGGTTTTTTTTTTTACCTATTGTGTTTAAAGATTTTATGAGAAAATTGTTTGTGCCTAATGGGTTAGTGTTGTTTTCGGTTTCTTTTCCACTCTCATATTGAAGAGTGCTTTCTTTTCTTGTTGTCAATTCATGGATTGCTGAAACGATCTTCTTCAAGCTACTACAAAACTATGCCAAGTAGTCTAAATTTTTCAGGAAGTGCTTTTGGCATGACTTCTTATTTCTATTGTTGCTTAAGCATTGTGAAATTATAATCACATTGTTTAGGGCTGAATTCTAAAATTTAGGCTTCTTATTTTGGTCATTCAAATGAATACTATTGCTTTGCCATCATTTGTGCATTGATTGGAATTTTCTTGGGATAATATTTATTAAATCATTTCCGTAGCTTGTGACTGCTCATTCTCTGAGTTGCCATTTTTTTGGTATAAAATAATCTATATAATTAAGGTTCTTCCACGAAAAATCCTTTTGTTGAAATAAAATCCGTAACTTTTATTTTTTGCACTGCTAGGTTGAAACTCTAAAAATCACTGCAAATTCTTTATTGATTATTTGAACTTTGACATATTACAATTGCTCATACCACTTTATAACTTTCTTTAACAACATCCTAAGTTTTTGAGTTATAAAGAACATTCTAAGTTCTTGATTTGAGGATTAGAAATGAGAGCACGTCTCCCATTATGAAGATTTTTTTTTTTTTTTTTTGAGGGGAACCTGTCATGAGTAAGTGCAGAGCTATCCATTGTGATTTCTGAAACTAGTTGTTTGTGGATCTTTGAATGGAATACATGCTTGTAAACATTGAGCCACCCTTCCTAGCTTAGCTTTTTAACCATTGCTTTATGGACAATCAACCCTTCTTGTATTCTTCTGTTCAGTATCTAGCTAAGGCCTAAAGATCAATTTGACTTGCTAGACTAAGTTGAAAAAACGTTTATGTACTTTTTTTTTTCTATCATGGCTATATAAGTAAAGTTAAAATAATTTCTGAAACCATGTGGAAATCCATCACTTATCCTACTCAAGAGGTGAATCTCTAGAATTTAGGTTTGACACAATTCTGGATTGAGTTCTATGATATCATGTTATCATATGCATGTTAGAAAAGGGTCATCTTCTTCTATTTATGTGTGTGTGATATCATGAGCACATATTGTCTGGAAGGCAGGTCTCTGGTACTTGTAACTTGTTTTTTTACTGTCTCTTAAACATATTATTGTTGAAACAAGTTAAAGAAAGACAATATCATGCACCTTATTGGAAGTTAAAGTGAACATAACATCAGACAGCGTCTCATCATTACTTATGATATGTGTGTTTTAGAATTGAATTCAATATGTTTTGTCAATAGTTTTGACAAATATCAGGGTTTGTTATCTTCCATGCTTATGATATTATACTAAGGACTGATTCTTTCCCTAGGATAAATGACTTAGGTAAGAACTTATGGATTTCAATTGATGTAGTACAATGAGAGACTAAGAATGAGATTAGGAAAGAAAATATCAGAAATCAGAGAGAGTAATGAGGAGAGATGAGCGATTATGAAGACTTGGGTTTTTTTATTCAAGATGAACCGTATATTTCCATAAGAAACCAATTTCCTGTTCTAATTAGAAAACCCTGTCTAACACAAACATGAATAATCCTCCTTGAATAAGTAAAATATTTCTAAACCTTAACAATAACATAAGTCCTACGCAAATGAAAATCCTTGAGTTATAGTCTGCATTAAAAATACTGATATCTGGAAATTATTGTTAAGAAATTGATTGGCTTTCTCCCTTTCACAGCAACGAAAGAGAAGATTGTTGCAAATTTAGCCAACTTTGCGTATGATCCATACAACTATTCATTCTTACGCCAGGTCAAAACCCTTACTTTCATACTAGAACAGTTTAGCCACAAATATGAAATAAATATCTTTTTTTGTTTTCTTTTTCCACTGAGCTCCTTCTACTGGTGATTTTTAAACAGCTTAATATTTTGGAACTCTTCCTGGACTGCATAACAGAACCAAATGAGAAGCTTGTAGAATTTGGGATTGGTGGCATTTGCAATGCTTGTGTTGGTAAGCCTAGCTATTGGCACTTTTTGGTAGTCTCTCTAGCAACCATGAATACTTTTTTCTTCTAAGCTGCAAATATTCTTCAAACTATTCTTCTTAGTTATCAACTGATTACAATTTATCCTTCCCCTTTCTATTTGTTGCAGATCCAGCAAACTCTGCTGTTATCATCCAGTGTGGTGGTATCCCTCTTGTTATTCAATGTCTATCAAGTCCAGTTAGAAACACTGTAAGTGGAAGTTATGTGATGTTTGAGTGTATCACATCATTGCTCTATAATTATTTTTGTTCTCAAATTGAACCTGGGACCTCATTCGGATGTAATGCAAATTGAATTATATTTCTGCCAAAGCACTCTGTATATAATTTTTTCTACTATTTTCATTCATGTTTACCAAGTGCATTTGTAATCTTTAATCAGAAAAGTGCCTTTCAATTAGAAGCCAATTAAGAAATGCATTTCCATTTCTGTTTCATGTAATATGTTCCACCATTTGGTGTTCTTGTCCTGCTTTTTGTTAAATAACAAGTAATATATCTTTGGAACAATTTCCAATTCCCCGTTCTGTCATTTTGGTTAGAAATTCCTATGATATCAAAGCTGATAAATTTTGCCAGTAAATAATTTGGTCATTTTGTGATCATCTTTCACATGTTATTTTGAGCTGATGTGTCCAAGATACATAATTTTTTAAATCTATATGTATGCATCTAATTACTTCGATATGATTGTTAGGTGAACCATGCTCTTGGGGCTCTTTATTATCTATGTGACATGTCTAACAAGGAAGAAATTTTGAAGCCAGAAGTGGTTGATGTCATTAGGAGGTATGCTGCAGCTGAAACTGTTAGTGTGAGCTTCAGTAATCTAGCCAAGGCATTTTTAGATAAACACGTTGTGGAAAGCAAGTGAGAAAAAAACCCCTTTCTGGTAATGAACCATTTATTTTCGGCTTTCTTATATAAAAATTGGTATCTTTTGCTGCATCCAGAATTTCAAGACAGGACATTTTGGTTTTACTTCTTACCAGCAGTGAAATTGTGTAATGTTTGAGTTGTACAAAGAATCTAATAGGGTTGGCAACTACAATGAAGCACCTTTTCAAGTTGAAATTTAATTTTCGAAATGTTATTGCAGATTAGGTGGGAATATTGGCATGACAAGTAATTAGAATACAACTCCAGAGAATTTACAGGGTCAATAAATTTACTTCTTTATGGGCCTCAACAACTAGTAAGCTTTTGTAAGAGAATTATGGCCAATAAATAGGATTTAATTGAACTAAATTGTTGTTAAATACATGCTAATGCTATTTAAGATTATTCCATGATATTTGAAAGCTATATGCATGGTGCTTTTCATGAATCAAGGGCAGAAAGGGTCTTCCAGTCATTATTTTTATTGAAAGAGAAAGCAAGTAAGAAGTTAGGCATCATAGTTTATTAAGGGTATTATAATTTTCATAAAGTTAGGTCATCTTTTGACATTAAGTTGAGCAAATAATAAAAATTATTAAAAAGGATGCAGGAATTTTGGTACCTGTTGTTCCCAATAGTTGACATCATTTTCCTTTTGGTTTGAAGTGAAAGCACCCAAAAATATATAGAATTATTTAATTGAATTATATAATAAGTTCCACTTTGCAATTCAATTTCAGCTTCACCCACTTCACTTATATATTAATTTCTATTGGACATTGTGAGTCATCATGTTTTTATAAAGAATGAAAGATGGACCAAATAAAATTATTATGTTGATTTTTTCTTATATGTTTAATATCATGAACATCACTTCATTTACAAGATAAAAAAGTTGTTTATTTTGATCTTATAGTGTCACTAAGAGACATGATTAAGGAGAGTTGTTTATAATAACTAAAGGAAAAAGAGTTTTATATATATAATCAAAACTTTTATCAAGATTATACATATATATCTTTGGATCTAAGTTGTAAAATATTATTTCAGTCCTCTTAGATAAATTCAACTGTATATGTATGTAGTTATCTATCCGAGATAATTCAATTATAATTATCTTTATCTTTAATTATAGCTATTCTTAAAGTAATGGAAAATTTATATAAAGATATGGTATATAGTTAGGTAACATTGTTTAGGGCTGAATTCTAAAATTTAGGCTTCTTATTTTGGTCATTCAAATGAATACTATTGCTTTGCCATCATTTGTGCATTGATTGGAATTTTCTTGGGATAATATTTATTAAATCATTTCCGTAGCTTGTGACTGCTCATTCTCTTAGTTGCCATTTTTTTTGGTATAAAATAATCTATATAATTAAGGTTCTTCCACGAAAAATCCTTTTGTTGAAATAAAATCCGTGACTTTTATTTTTTGCACTGCTAGGTTGAAACTCTAAAAATCACTGCAAATTCTTTATTGATTATTTGAACTTTGACATATTACAATTGCTCATACCACTTTATAACTTTCTTTAACAACATCCTAAGTTTTTGAGATATAAAGAACATTCTAAGTTCTTGATTTGAGGATTAGAAATGAGAGCACGTCTCCCATTATGAAGATTTTTTTTTTTTTTTTTTGAGGGGAACCTGTCATGAGTAAGTGGAGAGCTATCCATTGTGATTTCTGAAACTAGTTGTTTGTGGATCTTTGAATGGAATACATGGTTGTAAACATTGAGCCACCCTTCCTAGCTTAGCTTTTTAACCATTGCTTTATGGACAATCAACCCTTCTTGTATTCTTCTGTTCAGTATCTAGCTAAGGCCTAAAGATCAATTTGACTTGCTAGACTAAGTTGAAAAAACGTTTATGTACTTTTTTTTTTCTATCATGGCTATATAAGTAAAGTTAAAATAATTTCTGAAACCATGTGGAAATCCATCACTTATCCTACTCAAGAGGTGAATCTCTAGAATTTAGGTTTGACACAATTCTGGATTGAGTTCTATGATATCATGTTATCATATGCATGTTAGAAAAGGGTCATCTTCTTCTATTTATGTGTGTGTGATATCATGAGCACATATTGTCTGGAAGGCAGGTCTCTGGTACTTGTAACTTGTTTTTTTACTGTCTCTTAAACATATTATTGTTGAAACAAGTTAAAGAAAGACAATATCATGCACCTTATTGGAAGTTAAAGTGAACATAACATCAGACAGCGTCTCATCATTACTTATGATATGTGTGTTTTAGAATTGAATTCTATATGTTTTGTCAATAGTTTTGACAAATATCAGGGTTTGTTATCTTCCATGCTTATAATATTATACTAAGGACTGATTCTTTCCCTAGGATAAATGACTTAGGTAAGAACTTATGGATTTCAATTGATGTAGTACAATGAGAGACTAAGAATGAGATTAGGAAAGAAAATATCAGAAATCAGAGAGAGTAATGAGGAGAGATGAGCGATTATGAAGACTTGGGTTTTTTTATTCAAGATGAACCGTATATTTCCATAAGAAACCAATTTCCTGTTCTAATTAGAAAACCCTGTCTAACACAAACATGAATAATCCTCCTTGAATAAGTAAAATATTTCTAAACCTTAACAATAACATAAGTCCTACGCAAATGAAAATCCTTGAGTTATAGTCTGCATTAAAAATACTGATATCTGGAAATTATTGTTAAGAAATTGATTGGCTTTCTCCCTTTCACAGCAACGAAAGAGAAGATTGTTGCAAATTTAGCCAACTTTGCGTATGATCCATACAACTATTCATTCTTACGCCAGGTCAAAACCCTTACTTTCATACTAGAACAGTTTAGCCACAAATATGAAATAAATATCTTTTTTTGTTTTCTTTTTCCACTGAGCTCCTTCTACTGGTGATTTTTAAACAGCTTAATATTTTGGAACTCTTCCTGGACTGCATAACAGAACCAAATGAGAAGCTTGTAGAATTTGGGATTGGTGGCATTTGCAATGCTTGTGTTGGTAAGCCTAGCTATTGGCACTTTTTGGTAGTCTCTCTAGCAACCATGAATACTTTTTTCTTCTAAGCTGCAAATATTCTTCAAACTATTCTTCTTAGTTATCAACTGATTACAATTTATCCTTCCCCTTTCTATTTGTTGTAGATCCAGCAAACTCTGCTGTTATCATCCAGTGTGGTGGTATCCCTCTTGTTATTCAATGTCTATCAAGTCCAGTTAGAAACACTGTAAGTGGAAGTTATGTGATGTTTGAGTGTATCACATCATTGCTCTATAATTATTTTTGTTCTCAAATTGAACCTGGGACCTCATTCGGATGTAATGCAAATTGAATTATATTTCTGCCAAAGCACTCTGTATATAATTTTTTCTACTATTTTCATTCATGTTTACCAAGTGCATTTGTAATCTTTAATCAGAAAAGTGCCTTTCAATTAGAAGCCAATTAAGAAATGCATTTCCATTTCTGTTTCATGTAATATGTTCCACCATTTGGTGTTCTTGTCCTGCTTTTTGTTAAATAACAAGTAATATATCTTTGGAACAATTTCCAATTCCCCGTTCTGTCATTTTGGTTAGAAATTCCTATGATATCAAAGCTGATAAATTTTGCCAGTAAATAATTTGGTCATTTTGTGATCATCTTTCACATGTTATTTTGAGCTGATGTGTCCAAGATACATAATTTTTTAAATCTATATGTATGCATCTAATTACTTCGATATGATTGTTAGGTGAACCATGCTCTTGGGGCTCTTTATTATCTATGTGACATGTCTAACAAGGAAGAAATTTTGAAGCCAGAAGTGGTTGATGTCATTAGGAGGTATGCTGCAGCTGAAACTGTTAGTGTGAGCTTCAGTAATCTAGCCAAGGCATTTTTAGATAAACACGTTGTGGAAAGCAAGTGAGAAAAGAACCCCTTTCTGGTAATGAACCATTTATTTTCGGCTTTCTTATATAAAAATTGGTATCTTTTGTTGCATCCAGAATTTCAAGACAGGACATTTCGGTTTTACTTCTTACCACTTACCAGCAGTGAAATTGTGTAATGTTTGAGTTGTACAAAGAATCTAATAGGGTTGGCAACTACAATGAAGCACCTTTTCAAGTTGAAATTTAATTTTCGAAATGTTATTGCAGATTAGGTGGGAATATTGGCATGACAAGTAATTAGAATACAACTCCAGAGAATTTACAGGGTCAATAAATTTACTTCTTTATGGGCCTCAACAACTAGTAAGCTTTTGTAAGAGAATTATGGCCAATAAATAGGATTTAATTGAACTGAATTGTTGTTAAATACATGCTAATGCTATTTAAGATTATTCCATGATATTTGAAAGCTATATGCATGGTGCTTTTCATGAATCAAGGGCAGAAAGGGTCTTCCAGTCATTATTTTTATTGAAAGAGAAAGCAAGTAAGAAGTTAGGCATCATAGTTTATTAAGGGTATTATAATTTTCATAAAGTTAGGTCATCTTTTGACATTAAGTTGAGCAAATAATAAAAATTATTAAAAAGGATGCAGGAATTTTGGTACCTGTTGTTCCCAATAGTTGACATCATTTTCCTTTTGGTTTGAAGTGAAAGCACCCAAAAATATATAGAATTATTTAATTGAATTATATAATAAGTTCCACTTTGCAATTCAATTTCAGCTTCACCCACTTCACTTATATATTAATTTCTATTGGACATTGTGAGTCATCATGTTTTTATAAAGAATGAAAGATGGACCAAATAAAATTATTATGTTGATTTTTTCTTATATGTTTAATATCATGAACATCACTTCATTTACAAGATAAAAAAGTTGTTTATTTTGATCTTATAGTGTCACTAAGAGACATGATTAAGGAGAGTTGTTTATAATAACTAAAGGAAAAAGAGTTTTATATATATAATCAAAAATTTTATCAAGATTATACATATATATCTTTGGATCTAAGTTATAAAATATTATTTCAGTCCTCTTAGATAAATTCAACTGTATATGTATATAGTTATCTTCCGAGATAATTCAATTATAATTATCTTTATCTTTAATTATAGCTATTCTTAAAGTAATGGAAAATTTATATAAAGATATGGTATATAGTTAGGTATAGAATCACTAATCTTAAAATTGATGATATAATTTTTTTTTTTATAAAAATATATTATTAATGAAACTACCATACAACATAGGTACAATATGAAAATTTTAGTGAAAGATAATTCTAAAAGAATTGAAAAAGACTTTAATCAAATAATTATGAGAACTATTATGATATTCCGATCTTCGAGATTTATGAATATCATTTTAATGATTATATATATTCATATATATATATATATATATATGAATTAAGTAGCATGAATCAAATAATTACATCTTTATCAAACTACTCTCAATAGTTTCATGCAACTTTACAACTAATTAACTACAATTAATCAACACTAAAACATAAGATATTAAAAAATAATTAAAATTGGGATAATCTAATTGACATCCCAAGTAACCTTCTACTTTATTAATCAAATTAAATAAAGAATTGAAAATTGGAAGAAAAAAAAAAATCAAACTAAATAACACTTCGAGATAGTATAATCCTGTGACCAACTGGAACATGTGCTGCACATTCTTAATTTGTACTATCCTTTTATTTAAAAATAAATAAAAAAATAAAAAGTTGGTTTCATCATTTTGCTCACTAAGGTCACATCAAGATAATAATAATATTTTTTTTTTTGGGAAATAACTTTTAATGATTTATAATTAGTTTGTTCTAAAGTGTGAATTTACAATACAGAAGCAAAGTGGAACCACTTACATTACATCAAACATTTATTTAATTTATCATAAACACCCTTTTAAGATTCCCTTAACTATTTTGAAACTCTCTATAACCCCTTTAAATTTTGTGAGATTTCCCCTGGTTTTGGTTTATACGCGAATTCTTATAAAAAAAAAAAATTGTATTTTTTCTAAAGGAATCTGATAAGTTTGATCATGAATAAGTTCTTACATAATCTTCTTTTGAGGGAAGAAAGAATTCATCAAAATAATGAGTTATCATTGGTATTAAGACATCTAAGATTGTCAAATGTTCGGTGTTCATTTATTCAATTCTTTTTATTCTTCTTGTTATTGGATATCTCATTCCTACACATTTTCTCTTTGTTTTCCAAGCTTATAGTGAGTTAAAGAGTTGTTTTATGAGTTTAGATATAAAGTTTATAAACTCATAATAAGGAGAAGAAAATTTGTGATTATATATATATATAAAAAGAAGAAAAAGAATTTGAGATGCATCAAAATAATGAACTTTGTGGGTTATGGCCTTTAACTGATGAGGAAATATTGAGAATTTAGAGGATACAAAATAAAAATAGAAGGTAAAACGAAAAAAGCAAGTTTTTTGATAGTGAGTTGAGGGAAAAAAAAAGGTGAAAGGAGTCGGTAATATAAATAAGCAAGAACAGACACAAGTTGTCTGCTTTCGATAGAGATTGGTGACGCTTCCACGCAAAAGCGCATTTTAGTATTCTGATTTCTGTCATAATTATAAAACTAACATTTTTTGCAGGTCGTGTTTGGCTTTGTTGTCTCCTCTCTTTTTCATTAATCAATTACGAAAATCCAGATATTAGGCGTGCCGCCTTCTTAAAATGCGGCTTTTTCATGGATTGAAATGATGTGTTTCTCCATCTCCTCAATGGGCTTTGATTTGATTTTAACTATTATTCTTTTTATTTTATTTTTTTAAAAATAAAAAAGAAAAGAAAATTGTTGAGATGATTCCAATTCTCAATGGGTTTGATTTGATTTAAATAATTAATATTTTGTTTATAGGTGAGCTTCCATGTCTATTCATAGCCCACTTTGGGGATACCTTTAATTATTATGGGAGCTTGGCAGTGGCAGGCATGATGTATTTTCAACAATTAATCATCATTATTATAATTTTTATTAATTGATTAAATCTTTAATATGATAAAAATTCTCCAAAATTTTATTAGTAAATATAGATAGGTATGGATTAGTGAAGATTATCACTAATTACCAAAATCTTGAGAATAATCGTTAGTTGTTGGTCATTTACGCATTGCCATAATGAAGAGAGCATTGGAATTGGAGACATAATGTGTTTCCTCAAAAAAGACTCAATTCACCATACAAAATTTCTGCTTTTTTGTTACTTGTTTTTACATTCATTCCTATGTCAATTAGTTAGTAGTGTCATTATCCTATGAGATTTCATCAAACTTCAATTATTATACCATGAGAACACTTATGAATCAAGTTACACAATCTTGGACTCAACTTTTTTGGTACCAACTCCCTCATATAGGATACTTGTATTTAATGCATTTATTATATTTACTACTTCTCAATTTCTGAGTTCAATTTTTTCTTATTAAACGAATAATGTTCAAAGAAAACCCTGTGGTTTCAAAAAACTGAGCCGTTGCAGAGAAATAAAGAGGAACAGTAACAGAGAGAAGGAGCCAAGTTTGAAAATGGGTAAAAGCAAGCACAGCCTTTATCACATGTAGGAGAACAAGAATCCGACAATAGGTGGCTTGTAGCTCTAAAGGTTGCCAACACTCAACAAACCAAATCCTGCTAACCTATCATCTCTGACCTCTGCTTTTTTATTTTTCCAAGTGTGAATTACAGCTGGTGATAGATACTATGGAACCTTTTGGCTAAAGGCTGAAACCCAAGGCCTGTTTGATTGGTTTCCATGTTCTTGTTTTTATGGACATAAGCACTTTTGATTCTGACTTTTTTGCATAGAGATTCCAGTTTTGGGTTTATTTTTATCTCTTTTGACCTTAGAAAGTTTTTAAGAGAGGAATTTAGAGGAAAGGTAAACAAACTTCATATTTTCTTCTTAATGAAATGAGAACAAGAGCTAAACTTAACTACCAAGGCTTGGAGACAAAATAAAGATAACAAAAATTTCCAGGCCCCCAACTTTTTTATGTTTCACACTTAGTTTTGTCTCTCTTTTGTGCTTCAAGGAAATGAAACTTGCTATTCCTTCGTTCAGTTTCTTCTCTTCTTCTTCTCCCCAAGTTATGACAATTCTATATTTCTTTCTTCTGTTAGAGAAGTCCCAAAAAAAAACAAAAAAAAAAAAACCCAATTCAAATGGGTGAGACTACTACTTAAACTACTCTTTGATTATCAGCTTCAGAGTCCAAGCAAGATGTAGTAAACAAGAGTGATAGGAAGAGCTATTAGCATTCCAAATATGACCCTGCAACGATATTAAAAAAAATAAAAAAAATTAACACAAATTATAATAAAAAAGTAGAGTTCCCTACAATTATGATGATCCATCATTGATACATATGCATGCTTGTACATGTAAAATGAGCTGCAACAAGCTCTTAATCTAATCTTATTGAACTTAATGAGTTGAGTGAATGTGCATATGTTAAAAGCAAGCATGAACAACACTACCACAGACATTCATAATGACCAGGAATAAAGTTGAAGAATATCTCCACTAGCAATCCACACATGCAGGCATTGTCTTCATGAAATGGGACATGGGCATGCAACTTTTGATGAATAAAGGTGATTCAACAGAGCTAAAATATGTAAGTGAATACAGCAAAGTTTTGGTACAAACCCTGTGCTCAGTATGTCAGGATGAACATTGTATTCCTTAGCAAAAACAAAGGGCACTATGCCTTGTGGAAGGGCCGCCTGAAAATTCAATACACAGGATCAGCTCAAAACAATATTATATCATACATGGTTTAGTGATTTGTAGTTTGTAATTTGTTTTCTTTACCTGCACAATGGCAATATGCAATAAAACGCCACGTAGGCCAACAGCAATGGAGGCGGCAGCCATGACAGCAGGACCAGTGAGGAATCTGACAGCCATCGCAAAGGCAGCAATTGAGTTCCCACAGGCAATAATCCT